GGGGCTCGTGCGGGAGGCAAGCAATCATGCGTCTCTCTCACATCATGTTTCTCTCTGTGTCTCTCCCCCTCTCTGCACTTGCCCTAAACCAATGGGAAAATATCTCAGGTGAGGATTAACAACAGCAAAAAAATCTAAATAAAAAGTTTGCCAAGGGTACAAAACTAGCTGCAAAGCTGTGAGAATATGCGAGTCCAGCCCTGTCAGGCTGTGCCTGGCTGTGGCCGCCTCATCCACGCCACCCTCTTGTTTCACGGTCTCTGAATGGCAGGGGTGCCGGGGCCCCAAACCCCTGCAGCGTTTCTCTCCCTTCTCAGGGGCTGGGGCGGAGGTCGTGAAATCAGCGGGGCGCCCACCTCTGCCCAGTCCTGCCCAGCTCCGGGGCGCTGCAAGGGCGCGGCCAGGGCTCGACTTCCCAGGCCCGGCTTCGGGGGAGGAGTGCGCGCCTCCCCAGGCCTTTGATTTCACCGCACCTTCTCTCTGCGCCCTGCCCTGGGAGGCCCTCCCTGGTGGCCTGGAAGAGGGCCCAGAGGAAGTGGTGGACCCGCCCTTCGTAAGTCGCCTCTGTCCTCAGCGTCTCGCAGGCAGGACAGCAGATTGGGGAGGCTGAACTTGAGCCAGGAAATAAGTGTCCCGCGTGGGTGCTCAGGGCGAGGCTCCGGCGCCGCTGTGTGTCCTTGTCCCACCGCAGCTGGGGTGAGGGCGGCGCCCTTGGTATTCAGAAGTTCACACAACTGAGATGAGGAGGAGATGGATGAACCATGGATGGATGGATTCATCCAGTCAGTCATTCATGCAGTAACTCTGTCTCTAGCGCCTTCTAAGCACTTGGGAGGACTCCGTGAACAAGGCATCGATCCTGGCCCTCACAGACCTGGGGTGGGAGGTGGTTGGAGACAAAATTATGAACTTGTAAGATCATATATTGAAGTTTAGCCACAAGTAATCTAAACCACCTCCCCCCACACACTATTAAAAGCAAGATTTCTTTGAGGAATTGCTCTCCAGCATGCACGGAAGGAGCCAGCAGGTGCTCACGCAGGGAGGGTGTGCCTACCTAAGCAGTATTTTTTTTTATTATTCATAAAACATCATTCATCTTAATCACTGGAGTTTCCCTGAATTTTCTAAGTGCCCCTTTCCTTTTTTAGCAGCTAACTTTTGAAAAGTGAGAAAGAAGGGCAGTTTCATTTTACGAGGTCATTACAACGCTTTTGCCCTTTTGTTTAACACTCAGTTCCTGGCAGGACAGTGAGATGCCTGATGTGGTGACCATCAGTCAGAAGGAAAAGCTCATATCTGAATGGCAAATGGTAGGGATACATGTAGGTCCTACATGGGAATAGCAAGGTTTAATGCCCCGACAATCGTGTGCAAAATGTCCAATTAACGGGGACATGTAAAACAACGACAAAAGGGATCAAACCCAGAGCACCAAAGGTCAAGACTGACGCCTAGCATGCCCAGGCCAGTCATTTTTCTTCAGCTGCAAAGCAGAATAATTTGCTCTGTGCTTAGTTTGAGGACAATTTTTTGTGTGCAGTTTGACATTACCTGCTCATTTATGTGGCACCCCATGCAAGGCCTACATTCACACACAGGGTTACATGAAGGCAAAACAACATACCATGATTTACCTGTGCACAGGGTCAAGTTCAGAAAATTTCTATCAAAACTAAAACTACCAAGTTTAGCAAAGCATTGCTCATTGCAAGGAGGGAGAACATGCGCCAGGGGGAAAGGTGGTAGAAAGGACTTCGGGATTTAGGTTTGTGTTAGGTGACTTTTGGGAGGGTTTATGGAAGCGGTGCTTTGCTTTCGAATGGATGCTGTCTAGAGGTGAGAATCCTATATAATAAAAGCCTAATATGCTAAGTGTCCGGTCATCAAAGAATAGTATTTAAGAAGAACCACCCAGACCTTGAAACCCTTATCCTATTTATCAGTGAAGATATTACAATCAAAGCATAATATGCTAATGACATGCTAAGGCCACTCAACCGCTTGCTATGACATGCGCTAACCACCAGGGGGTAGACACTCCAACCAGTAGGTTAGCTTGCTGCTGGGGTCCAGCAGATGGGGACTGGGAGAGATGGACTGGACATGCCCTGGAGCCCTCCTGCTGTCCCTCCCTGGCCCCAATTGTGCACTGGTGGGGCCCCTCAGCCTGGCCTGTGCCCTCTCGCAATCCGGGACCCCTCAGGGGATGTCGGAGAGCTGGTTTCGGCCAGATCCCGCAGGCCACTCCCTCGGGAGGGCTCCAGACAAAGGGCTCATGGCTGGCGAGCACTGCCAAAAAAGGGATCTGGGTTTGACAAAAGGGATCAGGATCAGGACTTTTTGGGTGCAAGCTCTGGGCAGACGCAGTGGGGCCGGGATGAGTGGGAGCATCAGGTAGGAGCTGCAGGTGGCATTGGACTTCAGGTTTTGGTCTGATCCCTGCAGGCCACTCCAAGAGACCCCACCCATGTATGAATTTTTGCACCGGGCCTCTAGTTGTTCTATAAATGAGTATTCTAATAAATGTCACCCAGAAGGACAGACTAGAGCAAGGCTAAAGCTAGTGTTGTAAAGGAGCAGCAGTCACTTGTATTGGCCAAGATGGGGCGATGTTTAGTTATTTCTGTGCTTTAGTCCATGTTCACATTTTGTCTGTGTTCAGACATGATCACAGAGTGTTCTTGTCTTTATCTAGATTCATCAGGATCACAGAGTAGCCTTGCCTCTTAGTGGTGTTCAGGGAAATTGTTTATGTGCAACAGGAGAACACTATGCCAAGCGTTGAGTGCCAGGCTGGCTCTCAGGTGTCAGGGACTGCGTTTCTCTTTTTTATATCCTAGCTGAAATAAAAAGGAGAGATAAAAATGGTTGATAATAAAACGATAAACATTTCCATGTGTAAATGTTCTAGCATAACTAAACTAGAATACATAATAGGATCAGATGGTTCCACCGCCATATATAAGTCATTTGGATTTAAAAATAAGAATATTGAAAGTGTTACCTTTTTTTTTTAAAGAAGAATGAAATAGAGAGGTTCCAGTTAACATGAGAATTAAAATTTGTATTAAGCACTGGTCAGGGCACATACCCAGGCTCTGCCTCCTGCACATCTCCTACTGGGGATGTGCCCGCAACCCAGGTACATGCCCTTGACCGGAATCGAACCCGGGACCCTTCAGTCCGCAGGCCGATGCTCTATCCACTGAGCCAAACCGGTTTTGGCTGAAAGTGTTTCCTTACAATAAATACAGAAGAATGAAATAGAGAGGTTCCAGTTAACATGAGAATTAAAATTTGTATTAAGCACTGGTCAGGGCACATACCCAGGCTTTGGGCTCCATCCGTGGTAGGGGGTGTGCAGGAGGCAGCCAATCGGTGTTTCTCTCTCTCCCTCTCCCTTCCTCTCTCTCTAAAAAACAATTTAAAATTTAAAAGAACAGTTAAAAATCTGTGTGAAGATATATGTTAATAATACACCATGTTCATTTGTATATGCTAAAAGAAAGAAGAGATAACCTTAAAAGAAACAGGAATAACATGTTAAGCAAATTATAGGCTATCAAAAGAAGAAAATATAAGAAAGAACAATATTATCAGAACAGCACTGGCCTTGTTTCTAAGAGTAGTGATGAATGAATTCCTTCTGTATGACATAGAACAAGGTAGTGATAAAGTATCTCAGAGCTCACATCTCCTGTCTTGACATTTCCATACTCATTCAAGGCAGGCATTCTAGTATTTAAAAAGACCTTGAGGACCATATATGATAAAGCCCAAGAAAAGGCATATTTTCATTCCATGAGATTCACTTCAGGTCCCTGACCAGCCGTGGTTCCCAAAGCTAAGTCAAACTGAGGCAGACTAAAAGGATAATAACACTTACCCTACAGAGTGGGTGCTCTGATTAGAGATAATGTTTGGGACATGCATAGTTCATGGTGCTTTGAAAGCTAGCCATTGTCATCATTTTGGTCTACACACACACACACACACACACACACACACACACTCAACAGATGGAGAGGATGTATGTTGCTTGGATCTCCATAACTGCAATTGCATGGAGGGTGCTTGATTGAATGTGTGTGTAGAGACCCCAGGCAACTCTGCTGCAGGCTTAGACAGTGCGGGCCGGTATTGGGGGGATAGTCAGGGATAGAGAGGACAGGTTGGATGTAACTGAATGGGAATTTGCTCAGTTGGATATATGGATAGTTGTGTACAATATGCTTCAAAAAATTTACCTTTGTGCCTTTTTTGGGGGGGTTCGGGGGGAGTTCGTTTTCATTCATTTATTTACTTAAAAATATTTACACTTCACTGTGTTTGCCTGATTCTACTCATTAGGATAAATCCTTCGTGAACTTCAGCTTCCTCTCTATAAAGTGGGGGCAATAATATCCTCCAAGATTGTTGTGAGGACTAGATGAGATTTCATGACTATAGCACCTAGTGCAGGACCTGGTATGCAGCAGACAGTGCATAACTGTTTGCCTTTGAAGCCCACTAAGGAGCCCACCTTCCTGCTGCTCAGCGGGCCTGCACCTCGGATAGTAATTGATAGAAGATGGACAGTAATTGATGACTTGAAAGGGATGGCTCCTCCCGCCCACCTCCCCCTCCTAGCGTGCAGCATCCCCCAACCCCAGCACCACTCCTCCATTGCCCGTGGCACTCACTGATCAGTCTGCCCTCCTACCTCTGCCCCACTGGACTGACTCTGGAAAAGTGTTTAAATAACATCACAAAAATGCAACTCTACATTTTACATGATTGAGTTTATTTTACTGTGGCCTGGAGTTATTTTGTTTCATCAGGTGATGCAGAATAGAGACTGGATTGAAAGAGAATACAAGAAATCTTAGAGAAGTTAGGCCTTCAAGGTGGACCACATGGGACTGTAGCATAGCAACAGTGAAAATCCTGAAAAACAGCAAGGAATTAAAAAATAACACAATTGTCACAAAATGTTTTTCTTTGCATTGTGCTAAACATCTGGTACTAATTTTTTTAATGGCCTACAAACCTTTTTAAATGGCCAACAATTTATAGCTGAGGCTCTCGATCCGTGGTGCATACAATGACACTGGAAAAGGGAATTATATTTTCTATGAAATCATTTTTAAGGGCTTCAAATACTGTCGACACCTTTGTATCCGTTGTCAGTGATTTTGAAAATAAATGTCCACTCTGGCTTTTTTCATTCCTTAACCTTATCCATGTGAGCAGAGGGCATTCTTATCCCACAGGGGACTTCAGTAGTGACAATGTACTTGTCTGACCTCATTACACAGCCGATACTGAACAGCTTTCACAGTCTCATCGATTTTTCTTAGAACAGTATCATCAGAATTCAGTGTATTTTTTTCCTGTCACCATTCTAATAAGCTATCATGCATTGGTAGTTGGAATTTTCCTACAATGTGTTGCTTTACTCTTGTTTTGCAAGCATTTATACTTTTACAGGAGAAAACAGCGACAACTTTACCTTCTACTCAAAGGTGTTTTTTAACATTCAGTGTGAATTTTAGTTTTTAAACTTTTCCTTTAAATCTCAGAAATATGATATGCTGTCAACTTTATGTGTGTGGGGTTTTTTTTATATTTTATTGATTTTTTTACAGAGAGGAAGGGAGAGGGATAGAGAGTTAGAAACATCAATGAGAGAGAAACATCGATCAGCTGCCTCCTGCACGCAACCAAGGTACATGCCCTTGACCGGAACCGAACCCGGGACCCTTGAGTCCGCAGACCGACGGCCTATCCACTGAGCCAAACCGGTCAGGGCTATGTGTGTTTTTTTGTAAAAATCTTCACTTTACTTGATGGGGTGACTTTATTAAAAATGAACTGTGAAGTTGGTGTGTTAGCAACTTCACATGTGGGCAGTTATAAAACCAAATTTTCAATGTTCAACAGAATATTGTTGATTCTTTTCCTTTGCATTTGACATTGTCATACAGGCTGAATCAGACTATTTCTATGTAAATGTAGAGTCACCATGAAAATGACAGTTAAAGTGCAGAGGAATTTTCTTCATCCAATCATACAAGACAATTCTTAGCGGTGACTTTTCAAAATGGTGAGCTCGCAAAATGGGAAAGTTTTAAATAAAACAGTACAATCTTCCCTTGACATATGCTCCTAGGAAATTTGGCATTTATTAAACCTTTCCAAAAAAAAAAACCACCCACATAACTATGTGTTCATTTGTAAAATGGAATTGCAATTGCCTACGGTCAACCTTTGTCCAAAAATATTTAATGGAAAATTCCAGAAATATACAGTTTATAAGTTTTAAATGCATGCCGTTCTGAGTAGCAAGATGAAATCTTGAGCCATCCTGCTCTGACCCACCCTGGACATGAATCATCCCTTTGTCCAGCACATCCGTGCTATGCATGCTCCCTGCCCGCTAATCACTTAGTTATCTGGAGCAGCGATCTTCAACCGGTGTGTCTGAGCAGGCACATTCTGTGCCACAAGAATTTTTAAAACATGAAATACCTATTTAGTCAGGGGCACTGTCCCCTTTTCCCTTAGATTGTCAAATAAAATAATGACAAGAGCCAACACAACAATAGCCATCTGGTGTGAATGAATCAAAATTACACCTATTTTGATTCATTCAAAATATATTTTTGAATATATATTTTTTAATAAATCTTTATTGTTCAGATTATTACAGATGTTCCTCTTTTTTCCCCCTATAGCTCCCCTCCACCTGGTTCCCACCCCACTCCGTGCCCTTACCCCCCGCCACTGTCCTCATCCATAGGTGTAAGATTTTTGTCCAATCTCTTCCCGCACCCCTCATACCCCCTTCCCCCCCGAGAATTGTCAGTCCACTCCCTTTCTATGCCCCTGCTTCTATTATAGTCACCAGTTTATTCTGACTTAATTTTTAGGTTCACTTGTTGATAGATATTTATTTGTTGTGACTTCGTTGTACATAATTTTTATCTTTACCTTTTTCTTCTTCCTCCTCTTCTTAAAGAATACCCTTCAGCATTTCATATAATCCTGGTTTGGTGGTGATGAACTCCTTTAGCTTTTTCTTGTCTGTGAAGCTCTTTATCTGACCTTCAATTCTACATGATAGCTTTGCTGGGTAGAGTAATCTTGGTTGTAGGTTCTTGCTATTCATCACTTTGAATATTTCTTGCCACTCCCTTCTGGTCTGCATGGTTTCTGTTGAGAAATCAGCTGACAGTTGTATGGGTACTTTCTTGTAGGTAACTGATTGTTTTTCTCTTGCTGTTTTTAATATTCTCTCTTTGTCTTTAGCCCTTGGCATTTTAATTATGATGTGTCTTGATGTGGTCCTCTTTGGATTACTCTTATTTGGGGTTCTCTTTGCTTCCTGGACTTGTAAGTCTATTTCTTTCATCAGGTAGGGGAAGTTTTCTGTCATGATTTCTTCTAATATGCTTTTAGTATCTTGCTCTCTCTCTTCTTCTGGCACCCCCATAATTCGAATGTTGGTACATTTGAAATTGTCCCAGAGGCTCCTTACACTATCTTCATATTTTTGGATTCTTTTTTAAGGATGGATGTTTTTTGCTTTCTCGTACTTCAAATCTTTGACTTGATTCTTGGGATCCTCTAGTGTGCTGTTGGATCGCTGTATATTATTCTTAATTTCAGTCAGTGTATGCTTAATTTCTGACTAGTCCTTTTCCATTTTTTTGTCATTCTCATTAAGATCCTTGTAGGTCTCACTAAGTTCCTTGGAGGTTTGTAGAAAATTCTTGAGTAACCTTATAACTGTGGTTTTGAACTCTATGTCCAGTAGTTTGCTTTCCTCCATTTCTTTCATTTGTGACATGTTTCTTTGTCTCCACATTTTGACTGACTGTGAGGACCCACTGTTTCTATAGTGGAAAAACTGCTGTGCTGGAGACACCCGTATGGGGTAGGACTTGCTTCAGTGGGGCTTTGGTGCTCATTGAGTCTGCCTCTTGAGTGTGTCCCTTATGAATGTGAGGAGTTGAAATCTGGTATCTGACCACTGGGTACACTGGCTCCTGGATCTCCAAGTCAACTACTCTGTGAGTCCACCCAGCAGGAGCTACAGCGATATCAGCAGATTTCTCCTCTTTGTTTGGGGTTTGGAAGTTTTGCAGCTCTCTGACCCAGCTGCAGTTTGTTAGGTTAGGCTGCAAAAGGGCAGGCGATTCCTTTGCGCTGCTTCGAACAGCTTGGGTGGGGTTGTAAATTGGGTGGGGCGGGGCCTCAGAGAATCACCAGGGCGGAGCAAACAGCAATGGGTGTTGTCAGCCATTTCCACGTCTCTGTGTCCCCACAGTAACAATGATCCCTGCGAGCAGCTCTGCGAGAAAGCCACCTCACTTTCCAACCCGCTGCAAGACAGTCCAGTTTCTCCCGTAGGAGTCTGGATCTCAAAGTCTCGCCGTCAATGAGTTCAGTCCTTTCAGGAGCTTGTATCTCCCTTCGATTGAAATAAACTGTGCACCCAGTTGCAGCCTGCCTTTGCACTTGGTGCCTCTGCACCTCCTACCTAGTCTCAATGCACTTTTTTCTTTCCTTCTAGTTGTAGAACTTCCACTCAGACAGCTTTCCTGTGGTTCTGGGTGGTAACTGTTTTGTCTTTTGGTTGTAGTTTTAATGTGGTTGTGGGGGGCAGCACATACAGGTTTATACCTTATGCCGCCATCTTGGTTCTCTGAATATATTTTTGACTAGCAAAAATATATCTATATTTGGTGGGCCACAGATTTTTAGTAATTAGTTTATATGTGCCATGAGATGAAAAAGTTGAAAACCGTTGACCTGAAGTTATATTTGAAGTCTCGCACATTATTGGAAGGCCCCCAGACCTTCCCATTCGTCTTGGTTATCAGTGACTTTTCAAAATGGTGAGCTATCAGAGAGAGAGAGAGAGACCACCTCCATGTTACAGTCTTTTGTTGTAATTGCTCTATTTTATTATTAGTGATTGTTGCTAATCTCTTACTGTGCCTAATTTATAAATTAAACTTTATCATAGGCATGTACGTATAGGAAAAAAAAACAGAGTATATGTAGGGTTCAGTGCTATCTGTGGTTTCAGGCGTCCCCTGGGGGCCTTGGAACATGTCCCCTGCAGATAAAGGGACTACTATAGTTCTGGGCTCAAATAATTATAAACAGATTTTTCACCTGCACAATTCTAGGTTCAGTTATATTCTAGAACTGGATCATTATAAGTCCTGAGGGACACAAGAGAAATCTTTTATTGTGCTAGTCTCGCCCCACTAAATGACAGCAGCTATGCCTGTTTATTATGGGTGGAAAACCACCACCAACAACAACAAAATTCCCAAGTACCCCTGGCAGCAGTATAGCCCTGCAGAGAACCATTCATTTTTATGAAGCTACAATCACACATCTGTGGATAACAATCTAAGTTACACCTGATTAAATAAGAATACAGTCACACAAACATAATCAGGACCATTTAAAAACCTTTCTGCGGCTCAGGCCCTTACTTGGAGGCCCTACCCTAATTATATCAAGGATATGAGAATGCACCTTCACCCTACAGTAAATACACTAGTAGCCAAACCAGCTATGTGTCAGGCCCTGTTCTAAGTATTTCACAACACCCTCTGAAGTAGGCGCTATTATTATTCCTATTTTACAGATGAGGAACAGGCTCAGAGAGGCTCAGTGACTTGCCCAAAACCATAGAGCTGGTACCTGCTGGAGCCAAAATACAAAGGTAGGCCCTCTTATGCCAACATACTATGGCCTGTACAACTCTTGTAGAGTTTCTATTGAAGACTAATTTAAGGTATCATTTATGAGTTAGTTGAATTGCACAGGACTTAACCTTTGTCCGTTTCAGTTGTGAGTTTCCGTTTTGTATTTTGAGCCAATCGTTTAACTTGAGGTCTCAAACATTATTGTGGGGAACTCAAAAGGCCCCCAGGTTCCCGGTACCAAGCTGGCACTGTCCGAAGCCTACATGCAATCAGGGAGACCCACGCAGGCACTCGCCTTCTCTCTCCTTCTGTTTGTCAGTGTGCGTGCATGCATGTGTGTGCATGTGTGTGTGTGTGTGTGTGTGTGTGTGTAAACAATGGCAATAGTTAGCTTCTAGAGCACTGTGACCCATGCAATCATCATCTCTAATAGCACCCATCCTGTAGAATGTGTTATTGTCTCAATTTATAGATGAGGAAACTGGTGTCAGGATAATTAAGTGACTTACCCAATGTTACACATAGCCCATGACAGCTAATCCAATCCTTTTGTCTTCAGAGCCTCTGCCCCTCCCCTGCCCACGTGGACTCAGTTTGGGCTCCTTGGGACTTTCCTGTCTCTTTCCTAATGTTCCTTCCCCAGAACTTGGGTAGGTTTCCAACTGTCCTACCACCCAGTTCCCATCAGGAAGAGATCGCAGCTACTGGTTCTTTCCCTACAGCCCCCGTCATCCCATTCCAGAGCGGGACGAAGCCCTCAGACTCTCACTCTAACGCAAGCACCAGCAGAGGCTGTTCTGGATGGGGAGCTCCAGAGGACGACTTTCTCAGTGCCAGACTTTCCTGCTCTCCTTTGCCTGGGCAGTAAAGTCACCATCACTTCTCCTGACCATGCTCCCTTCATAGAGACCCCTCCCGCACCACCCTGGAGGCCATGACTGCACCTAGCTGTCCATTATCCTTGTTGCCTGGACCCAGGAGGACCAAAAGCATGGGGTGGGGTGGGGAGGCCGATGTTTTCAATTGGTCACTCTCTCTTGAGACTGAGACAGATTCAACGGGCCCTTCACCTGGAGCTCTCAGAGTATGAGGCTGAAACAGCCTAATTTGATTGGGCTTGTGATAGAGGACGTTGAGGGGAGGGAGAGAAGACACAGGCACAGAGAAGCAAACAAGGGAGACCTTGCAGAGCCAGAAAGAGGGGGTGTGCATGAGCACAAAACAAACAAACAAAAAAAAGAAACTTGGTCCCTGCCTTTGCAGTCCCCAAATCCTCCTGAGGTCTCCCACCCTTCCTGTCCTTAAGCTCTGTGAAAGCTGCCAGCCTTCTTCCAATAAATTCCTTTCTTGAAACCAAAGTTTCCTCCATCACCTTCTGAGCCCCACCACAGATCTAGGTGCTGAGCCCCTGGACAGAGCCAAAAGGACCACCAGCTCATTAATCCAGCCCCACCCCCACCCCCACCCCTGATCTGGCAAGTCATGGCACTAAAGTGAGGGCCTGTCACCTGTTCACCTCTGAATCACTTACCCCAGGACCTTACCTGGGGCACTGGCTCACAGCCCCTCCAGTATGCCCCAAGTCTAGCCCTCCTATGGCCCCTGGCCCACTGTGCTAGAGCTCAGCCCTGTCCATCAAGTGGCTCCCTGAGGTCCTTTCCACCTTTGGAAATTCCAGACTCTGAAGACTCAGCAGTGACTCAAATGATTCAAAGCCTGTCCTGCCCCACCCACTGGGTGGCACCTCTCAGTTCAGAGATTTATCTACTATTTACCTTAGCTGGGCCCACACAATGGGGCATCACCCAGCCAGTAAAGTGATGGTAGCCTGCTGATCTAGGCTGGCAACCAGACATCTTCATAGGAAACAGTGCAATAAGCATCATGGCTGATCTTCCTTTGGGTTGCTTCTATGAGGATAGGAGTTAGAATAATGCTCTGCTGCATTATTTATGAGTTAGTTGAATTGCAGAGGACTTAGCCTTTGTCCGTTTCAGTTGTGAGTTTCTGTTTTGTATTTTGAGCCAATCGTTTAACTTGAGGTCTCAAACATTATTGTGAGGAACTCAAAAGGCCCCCAGGTCCCCGGTACCAAGCCGGCACTGTCCGAAGCCTACATGCAATCAGGGAGACCCACGCAGGCACTCGCCTTCTCTCTCCTTCTGTTTGTCAGTGTGCGTGCATGTGTGCATGCATGTGTGTACGTGTGTGTGTGAGTGAACAATGGCAATAGTTAGCTTCTAGAGCACTGTGACCCACGCAATCATCTCTAATAGCACCCATCCTGTAGGATGTGTTATTATCTCAATTTATAGATGAGGAAACTGGTGTCAGGATAATTAAGTGACTAACCCAATGTTACACTTAGCCCATGACAGCTATTTTGGGAATTTCTGTGTTCACTGGGAGGGGAATGAGGGAGTTCTGTGGGCGCTGGAAATGCTCTCTCTTGATCTGGGGGGTGATCACATAGGTTTATACATATGCAAAAATTTTTCAAGCAGTACCCTTAAGATGAATGTACTTAATTGCTTGTAAATTATACCTCAATTAAAAAGAACAAAACATTTCATTATGAATTTTTCTCTTCCCCAAGAGTACTGGGGGTGGGTAGGGATTTTTTCACCTTGCTGATCTGTTTTTCCTGAATTCCTGGGTCCCTTTTCCTCCTTCCTGTGCCTAGAGACTTTCCATTCTGGAAGCGTGGTTTGGAGTGGAAAGCTACCAAATGGAATTAGAATACTCTTAGTTGAAGAACTCCGGGTTCTGTGCTCCATGTGCCAGTGACCACGTTATTGCCTCTCAGCTCCAAGGCTATTGCTCTGTGAGAATGGAGCTGGACCCTAAAATATTTCTCCTTTGCTGACTGGCCGAACATGAAGCCTCTCAGTAGTGGCAACTGAAAGAACGCTGGAGGAGGAAGGGGCTAGCCTTCCAGGTCCCAGTGTGTTCCCTTGGGCAGCCTCCTGCAGCATGAGATTCTGCAGCACCTGGCCCAGTGCACACAGGGATGTGATAGACCCAGCAGCCAGCAGCACCGGGACCTCTCCGTGCACAGCTCCCCACCCCACCCCTGCACCCCAGAGAACTGTTTCTCAGTGAGTCCTGCTGGCACAGCGCCTGGGCAGACCTCAGCATCCAGTGGGCCCTGTACTCCTCTTCAATGAGGTCTGGATCTCAGGCCTGCAGAGGAAGACCTTCTTCGGGCGTTCTACCCCAGCTCTGGGGGAGTGGATGCTCCAGTATTTATTCAAGTTTTCTCCACCAATTACTAACCACCTTTGCTGTATCCCAATCCCCTGTTGTCGTTCATAATTCTTCATATTAAACTTTCCCTGTTCAAGTCACTGTGTGGTTTCTGTCTCCTGATTGGACCCTGACTGATGCATCCCCCTCATGGGTTTAGGTGTGTGGGGTTTGCAAAAAGAAGTAGCAATTGTCTGAAGAGTCATGCACTGAGGTAGAGTCTCTGCTACCAAGTTGCTGTGATCCCAGGTCCTAGTCTGTCTGGGCTGCTATAACAAAGTACCATAGACTGGGTGACTGAACAGCAAACATTTCTTTCTCCCAGTTCTGGAGGCTGGAGGTCTGAGATCAGGAGGCCAGCATGGTCAGGTTCTTGGTAAAGCCCTCTTCCTGGTTTTCAGACAAATGTCTTCTCATTGTGTCCTCATCCGGCAGAAAGAGAGCAAGAGAGCTCTCTGGGGTCTCTTTCATAAGGGCCCTAATCCCATCCTGAGAGCTCCACCCTCATGACCTAGTCACCTCTCCCAGGCCCTACCTCCAAATACTATGACCTTGGGGATTAGGATGTCAACAGGTGAGCTTTAGAGGGGACACAAGCTTTCAGCCCACACATTGGGAAAGTCCCTCTTTCTCTCTGGCCTCAGTTTCTCCTGGAGTAAAATGAGGAATGTGTCCCCGTATTCTCTTCTAACTTCACAGAGATACTGAGGAGAAAGTGAAAGCCCTGTGAGTTCCTCAGAAGAAAGCTGCTGCTAACATTCCTGCATCTCGTTGTTGTCACTAAAACCATAATGACAGCTTTACTTTAAACACTCAAAAGCCCAGTACCACTGGCTCATAAAACTGACTGTCCTGTAAACCGAGGCCTCTGCATGAATCACCAGGCCTCCCACTGCAGGGAGGGAGGAAATGGGTGGAGGAATGCAAGGAGGCCTAAAGGCTGTTAGAGGTGAGCAGGGGTAGCTGGATCTCTGGGAGGTTCAAGGCAAGGCCAGATTTTAATACCACACTCTGTCTACGCCCTCAGATTAAGCTAATAGTCAGGATTTCCTTAGCATCAAATTGTGGTACTGTTCCCAGCACACTGGTGAAATGTGATGCCCTCATGCAGGATCTCCGCACAGCGCAGCTCTAGGTGGTGCCATGCACGTCATAGTTTTGCAAATGGCACTCCCTGGTGTTGTGCAGTGTTCAGCCCGTGAAGCCACAGGCAGTAGCCCTGCCCAGGTGAGTGACCCTGAAGCCCTTGCCATAAGTCCCCTGTGAGTCATCTTCTCCACGGTCCTTAAGAGAAGGACCTCCAAGCAAATGTATGACACACAGAACTTGGGCCAAGCCTCCAGCAGCAACAGAACAATCACACTGATTTCTGTCTTACTGTCCTTTGCCACATAAAGGGCAGCAGAACACCTTCTCTGATTGCCTTCCCTGCCCATCGTTCTTCCACCAGCACCGCCATTCTCAGGCTTACAAAACTCCTTACCTACTAGCATGATGTGTCACACTTCAGAACATCATTACTTCAGAGCAAGGAACCCTTCTTATGGCAAAGGAAGTGTGAAATGGACATATGATCATAGG